AACTTTTGATTTCAGCTGGGGTCACGATTTTTACAGTTCTTGAGATCAAGCCCCAAGCTGGGTTTCACAATGAGCAGGGAGCCTGATTGGGATCCTCTCCCTCCCTCTCGCTCTGTCCCTCCCCTGCTCTCTGTCTCAAAATAAATCAGCATAAAAACATAAGAATTATTGACATCATGAACCCCTTGGTCTGATGCCCTGAGAAGTGCACATCACTTCTATGGTGTTCTTGCTAAAAATTCATGAAAAATCAACAGGCAAACCCAAATCCAGGGACACTCTACGAAATAACTGACTGGTAGTTTTGTTGTTGTGGTTGTTTCAATAGTGACAAAATCATGAACAACAAGGAAAGACTGAGGAACTGTGACAGACTGGAGGAGATTGAGGAGAAATGGCAATTAAATGCAGTGTGGGATCCTGGGGAGGAGCCGTCAGTGAAAAAAAACTGGCAAACTCCCTCTAAACCTATAGTTTAGTTAATAGTATTTGTACCAAAGTTAATTTCTTAGTTTTTATCATTGTACCAAGATTCTAGAAGATGTAAACACTAGGGGAAGCTCGGTGAGGGATATACGAAAACCCTCTGCGCTATTTTCACTCTTCTGTTATCCTGAAATTATTGCAAAATAAAGGTTGTGTGTGTTTTTTTAAGTACATACTATGGGGCACCTGACTGGCTCACTCGAAAGAGCATGCGACTCTTGATCTCGGGATCGTGAGTTCGAGCCCCACATAGGGTGCAGAGATTACTTAAATAAATAACTTTTGAAAAAGTACCTACTGTGGTAAAATGCCATTTTACATCCTTAGCTGACCTGTCACAGCGAGGTACCTCCGATGTGTACTCACGGATGCATGTGGCGCCAGTACTTAATCCTAATGGCGAATTCTGGTGCCTGGACCAGCTGGCTGGCTGATTCTCCCCGCTTGTTTTGCTACATCGGCCAACAGGTTTGGCTTGGACTTTGCTGGATGAGGAAAAGGGGAAAGGGAGCAAACAGCCAGGGGGGGTAGAGCCTACTTTCCCATGCGCTTCTAAGCGGCGTTCAGCTCCCACCCTGCAGAGCTTCGACCTCGACCTCTCCGGAAGCCACTCTTCTTGGGTCTGAAAGATCACAGAAGGCATAGTCTAGGTGGGAACTAGACCATCTGTTTATGCCCTCGGAATTTTAAAACCGATCCCCCGTGTTTACAAACCCGAGCTTACATGTCACGCTTGTTGGGCAATAACTAAGTAGCTGCCAGGCCGTGGCAGGGTTTCTCCCCTTCAGAAGCTCCTCCCCGAGGAAGCAGGTCGGGTCCCGAAAGGTGGTTCTCAATCGCACTGTTTATCACCCCGGTTGCCGACGAGGAGTTTCCACTTGCAGCCCTCAGACTGGGGGCCATCAGACAGGAGTGTTTCAAGATCAAGCACATGCACGGGAGGCCTGGGTGGCTCAGTTGGTTGAGCCCCTGACTCTCCGTCTCCGCTCAGGTCACGATCCCAGGGTTGTGGGATGGAGCCCCGCATTGGGCTCGGCACTGAGTGCAGAGCCCGCTTGGGACCCTCTCTCTCCCTCTGCCCCTCTCCCCCGCTCACGTTCTGTCTCTCTAAAATAAAAATTTTAAAGTATATACTTAAAAAATTGTGTTAATAAATAAAATCAAGCACATGTTCCCCCCTCTTGGCCGATAGATGTTCCCTCTGGCATATTTTCCCCAACAAAGCTGTTCTTCACTGCATCAAAAACACATTAAGGGAGAGAAGATCTGCAAATATTGTGGGAATCTCCTTAACTTGTATCCACCGCCCCCCGCCCCCACTCTGAAGTCAGGCACTTCAAAGGGGCCTTGTAAGGAGGAAATATCCGTGGCCTGGGGCAAGCAAATCATCACTCCAGCCTCTGTTTCTGCAAAATCCCGGTCTGCTCCTGAAGGAGGCTGGTAGGCTCTTTGTGGACGGGAGCCTGCAAGCCATGGCACTTCGAACCCTTTCGTTTTTGTCTATTGCCTGTCCTATTTCTTGCTGATTACCGACTGCAGAAGCAAGGCGGCTTCTATATATTACACAGTTACCCTCTGTCCCTTAGAACCTCCTCTAATGTTGAAGGACTCAGTCCACACACAAGGGCAACATTCACTATTTTTTTCACTGATTTCCATTTTTTTTTTTAATGATCTCTTGTTTGCGATTGAATATATTAGTAAGCCCTTATGTGCCCCTACATGATGGGGTTAAAAATGTTTGCAAAACACCTCGGGCTGAGCCTGAGCAGAGCAAGCACACTGTAGACCGACGGGCTCGTGGCCAAGAACCCTGATGGGGCATTGGCAGCGAGCAGAGCTTTTTCAGGACGGCCGAACTTCGTTGATAACCGTGCAAGACCTCAAGAAGGATGATCCTGGGGTTGTGAGTTTGAGCCCACATTGTGCGTGGAGCCTACTTAACATAAAAAATAAAATTAAGGGGCGCCTGGGTGGCGCAGTCAGTTAAGCGTCCGACTTCGGCCAGGTCACGATCTCGCGCTCCGTGAGTTCGAGCCCCGCGTCGGGCTCTGGGATGATGGCTCGGAGCCTGGAGCCTGTTTCCGATTCTGTGTCTCCCTCTCTCTCTGCCCCTCCCCCGTTCATGCTCTGTCTCTCTCTGTCCCCAAAATAAATAAACGTTGAGAAAAAAAAATTTTTTTTTTAAATAAAAAAATAAAAAATAAAATTAAAAAAAGAGCAAGAAGGAGGCTCTAAATTGCTGCCTGACACCCTGTTTCCGGAATCAGCCAAGCAGGAGGTTGACACAATTATCCGGACAATCTGAGCAGAGATCTACTTATCTACATTAAAAACCATCATCATCAGGGGCGCCTGGGTGGTTCAGTAGGTTGAGCGTCCGACTTCGGCTCAGGCCATGATCTCACGGTTCGTGGGTTCGAGGCCCCATATGTGCTGACAGCTTAGAGCCTGGAGACTGCTTCAGGTTCTGTGTCTCCCTCTCTCTCTGCCTTTCCCCTGCTCTCTCTCTCTCTCTCTCTCTCTCAAACACTCATTCCCATATTGCAAATACAGAAACCAAAACACGGATAGGTAAAGTAACTTTTATTTTAACTTTTGTTTTTTTTAACATTTATTCATCTTTGAGATGACAGAGACAGAGCATGAGTGGGGGAGGAGCAGAGAGAGAAGAAGACACGGAATCTGAAGCAGGCTCCAGGCTCTGAGCTGTGTCAGCACAGAGCCCAAAGCAGGACTCAAACTCACTGACCGTGAGATCATGACCTGAGCCAAAGTCGGACGCTTAATCGACTGAGCCACCCGGGCGCCCCAGTTAAAGTAACTTATCCAGAGTCACATAGCTAATTAAGAGCAAAGCTGGGATTCAAACCGGGGTCTCTAACCACAGACATCTTAGCCACCAAGCTGAACCGTGCAATGAATATGCTTCCATACCCAAGCATGCCTTCTTCCTCACAATATTCTCATGGAGCAGGGCTGGCACCGTGAGCCCCGTGTCTACCTTAGAACATTCCCACTGTGAGTCACCTCCCTGTGACAGCCAAAAGCCACTCTGTCTCCCAACCCGACCCCTTAAGAACCAACGCAACAGGAAGCTACGGGTGGCCATCTGTAGACAGGGCTCAGGAAGTGGCTCTCAACCAGGGGCAACGTCGCTTCCCGGGGACATTTGGCAACGTGTGAAGGTATGTTCGATTACCACAATGGGGGGTGCGGAGGAGGAGGAGTATTAACCGGCAGCCGGGGATGCTACTAACCATGGCACGAGCCAGCCTCTCCACTCCCCCACCTCCGGTCCGGCCCCGGTGTTGGATGGTGTAGAAGTTGGGAGACCCCGAGCGAAAGGAGTCAGTCCTGCTCTTCAACCCTTGTCCCCGGCCTGGTGGCCTGGGATGATGAAAAATCACTGCTACTGTAGTCAGGAAGCTGTATCAGACGGGTTATCTCACCTGCCGGGGAGATGCTACCGCCTGCATGTGGGGCTTTCTCCATCCGTCTAATTAGTGCATTTGCGGATTGTCTGAACGGACAGCCTCCTTTCCCCTGTAAACAGCACGTTGGCAAGCCAGTCCACACTCAGAACACTGCCCTGACAAGCTAAGCAAGCGATTCAACAAGGTGACTCTTGTTGCTGCTCAGAATAAAGGCGGGTGGCATATTCTAGGGGCAATCGTGGGGGGGCGGGGGGGCCGCGGGGAGAGAAGTGTGACATTGACAAGGTTAAAGGGGCTTTGACAGGTAAAGCAAGGAAAGAGCATTACCAGCAGAGGGGAAGAGAGGAACTTTAAAGCTGGTCAGGGAATCCTGTTGGCCCCACTCCCTAATTATTTTAGCAGGCGATGAGATCATCCTCCACGAGAGCGGACGCAAAGAAAGGGGAGCTATAACCAGACACCGCTGCAAATAAAGTTGGCTTCACTCCAGAACCTAAAACAAGACGCGTGCGGCATTCGCTTCGTGAGAAGTTTAAGGTCAGAGTTCTGTCACGAAAGCACCCGCCTGGGGAGTCAGACACACCTGGTTCCGAGTCCCCGCTTTGAAATGTCCTCGCCACGCAACTCCCGGCAGAAAACAATCTCTCTGCACCTTGTGCCTCATCTGCAGAGCGGAACTACTCGCAAGAGCCACTCGGGGTCGTCCTGGGAAGTACAGGGTGTGATGTGTGTGTGACACGGGCACTTGGTGGTGCTGGGCACAGAAAACCCGCGGGGTAAAGTATACACAGAATAAATGCCCTGACCCAGCCTCTCCCCTCCTCCCTTCCCTTGCACGTGTAGAGAGGGAGGTTGGTTTTCCCCCAAGAGCCTGGTTGGGTGAAGTCGAAGTACAAGGGGCGGAGTCAGAGCCCAACAGAGGCTTTGTATTAATGGAATTTACTTTCACAAATCATTCCCGCGAGATGTCCAGATAAGCAAGCTTGCCCAAAACAAGGATCTTTGACTCTAGGACCCAGAAAAGGACTCCCTGAGATACACTTAGTATGCACCCAGGGTCACTAGAAACAGGTTTACCGTGAAGCTGATGAAAAGGAAGCTCCAGGCCTCTCACCCAGGCAGGAGCCCCAGCAACGCATTCCCGGCCATTGGCTTTTGTAAACTTGGCGGTGGTAAGATACTCTGACCTTGACTGCTTAAGATCGCTGCCTCTTTCTACTCTGACTTCCCTTGGGCCACATTTCCCCTCCTTTTGGGTGACTCTGTAAAAAAAAAATTTTTTTTAATGTTTATTTGTTTTTGATGTTTATTTATTTTAATGTTTATTTTGTTTGAAGCAAACAAATAATGTTTATTTTTGACAGAGCACTAGTGGGGGAGGGGCAGAGGGAGACACAGAATCCGAAGCAGGCTCCAGGCTCTGAGCTGTCAGCACAGAGCCTGATGGATGCGGGGCTCGAACCCATGAACCACGAGATCACGGCCTGAGCTGAAGTCAGATGCTCAACTGACTGAGCCACCCAGGTGCCCCTGGGTGACTTTGGAGTGGCCATGGGTATTTGGGGGGATCTGGCTAAGAGGAATTAGGAGCTAGAGAGACTGCTACTTTGGGTTCAGGTTATGTTTTCAATTTTATATATTTACAGTTCAGTTACTGCTAATTGTTCTGGAGCAGGGAAGGTTGCCCCCACCATTCCTACGGCCCACTGGGTTGACCCACCCGGCATGGAGATATGAAGGCTCAGATCCAGAGGTCACATCACAAGTTATGTGGCCCGTGGTGCCAGAAACCAGCGTGGCGTGGCCCGGGGGAGGAAAATCAAGATGTGGCACAGACACAACCAAAACAGACTAGTTAGAAGCTGGCCTGGGGAAAACTTTTCCAACCATCAAACTTCACAACTAACTGTAGGTACACTTAAAATTGATAATTGGTCAAGATGAATTTGAGACCACCTAAGAAACACGCCCCCCAAAATATAGGATACAAAGGATATCAGAGGTAAATATCTGATATATAAGCAAATATGCTTATATGCAAATATGCTTATATGATAAGCAACTAAGAAGTATGTTTCTGAATTTGAGGATACTTTAATACCTAATTTTGTATTTAGAATTTTATATTCCCTTCAAAAGGGGCTCTCACATCCTATAAGCTTCGGGCTGTACAAAACCTGGGTCCATCCCTTAGAGTCACCTACTTTTATCTTTTTCAAGAGGGTAGAATGGGGAGTGGGGGGGGGGGGGGGAGTGAGAATGGAGACAATAAAACTCCCTCACTAAATTTCCTGAAATAATTACAGCCTAGTCAGTGAATCTAGAAAACTGGAAATTCCTTATGTATCCGTTCTATCGGGAAGGATTTAAATAAAGTAAATATACAAGGCTCCAGACTATTCTGGTGGATTTTCTTGCAAGGCTGAGCACATACCGCACGGCGTTTGGGGGGAAAGTACTTTTTCATAACGTGAAATAAAACACACCTAGCCTTAAAAAAAAAAAAAAAAAGTTAGTTTAGTTTCTGCTAAAATCTTTTATCTGTCCTTTATCTATCCCTTGCCTCCAGCAGAGATTCTAAACTCTATTCACGCTCGCTATTGTCGCTTGTACACCCAAATCAAACAAACTCAGCTGGATCATTCGTTTTTGAAAGCACAGAGTAACACCCCACAAGCTGGAGAAAGTGAAAGAACTTCTTTCTAAATTCAGCCGCCTGAACAAGGAAACATTCAGGTAGGCAGCGTCCTTCCAGTCTCTGTTCCCACCACGTGAAGACTTAAAGGAACCACGCTCTGGAGGCTGGTCTTCCTTTCCGTGAAAACGCCAGCACAAGTGCCCACGAGCTCGCCCTGCCTTTTCCCACCCCCTCACCCCTCCCCGCACGCCGTCGGCTCCCAGGAGCACGAGTTTCACAAGGAAGAGAAAATGTAGCGTTCTGCTAATTTCAGAACCGCGTCCTCCCCGTTCGCAAACGCCTGGGCCCCGCGCCCAAGCCGCCTGCCCCTCCCTCCGCGCAGCGCCCGGGATGCTGCAGCCCGCGGCTCCTCCAGGTTTGGGAAGCGGGTGACCCCGGGCAAGTTTGTCGAGTCGGAGCGGAACGACACCCGGGAGTATGTGTTGGCTCTTTTCCTTTCCTTGGAAAGCACTTAGCAAGCTTAAGGCACCCCCCCCCCCCACACACACACCCACCCTGTATACCTTCTCTTGCAGTGCTGCGTGGTTTACAAAAACAGAGCTCGTGTCTTTAAAACCTGCGTTTTCTCCCTGGGAGTAAGCATTAGTTAATGACTGCCAGCCGGTTTCTGTGTCTCGGCACCATGTGACCCGGCCACGTGACTTGGAGCCGGCTGTGGTTGTTCCTTGTATTTGAATAAAAAGATCAAGCTTATTATTGCACTGAAAGCCTGCGGATCTCGCCCGTGCAACGTGATTTCCCAGGCGGGTTACACAACGCGCTGCCGCCCTGGGCTCCGGCTCCCAGCGCCCAGCCTGTCTCCGCCCGGCGCAGGGAGCTGTTTGCTAAGGGACATAAAACAAACATGGTTTTATGGTTTCCAAAGTGAGAGTCCATTTTCCTCTTGGAAGACGCATGATGATCCTGAAAAAAGAAGAGACCCAATTCCTCGGAACCTTCTTACTAGGATAAGGTTAGGATTCCTAGTGCACGCATATAAATAAAGGGGAAAGGGGGATACAGTCTCTTTTTCAACCGAAGGTTCAGGATTTGGTTTGACCTTTCACTATTTTCCTGTCTCCCTCCCTGGAAAGTCTTCAACACACATTCTTGCCTCCTTAGAAAAAAATACAAACTAAAAGTGACATTTTGAAATTTAAAATGTAAATGGCATGTTCGTTCGGTGGGTTCCCCCACCCCCGCCTGGAGATTTCTAGAACATTGGCAGTTAAATTTTGATTCAGCGTATCCTGCAAAGGAGAGAGCCAAGGGATTAGTCTGTGTATAGGTGGGAAGAGCTGGGTGTCCCTTTGTAGGTTAGGGTGGTGGTGAGCACAGGTATGCAAACGTATGCAGATTTGCCTCCAAAGGGACCCAGCCCCCTCAGAAGGTGACATCCTTACTCTGCTCATTTTAATACTCCCCTCCCTTCCCCTCCCCCCCAGTGCAATGTTTTGCTTCCTCCTGTCTCTAAGGGTAGTCTTCAATGATGACTCAATTACAGAAGGACCCGGGAGGAACAATAACATCGGTTATCTCTAGCCCAAGGCCTTCTCTGAATGGAATTGCAAAGCGCTTCTCCCCAGCAGCCCCCTTTCCAGCCGCGTCTGCCTTCTAGAACACGAGGCCAGCCCACTCTCCAGCACAGGCCAGATTTCAGCTGTGGATTCATTCATTCTACCGATACTGACTGAGTGCGTCCTCCGGCTGGCACTATTCCAGGTGCTGAGGAAGCAGGCGTGAACAGGGAGCCTGCTCCCTGCAGCCGGGGGCCCTCACTCCGGGAGCGAGAGTGATCTCCAAGAGGCCGAGCCCACGAGGCCTGTCCAGGCTGGGGGAGCAGCCCGTCAGACTCCCTTCTGTGGTCCAGCCATTGCTCAGATGACAGGGCCACTGAAGACTAAATAATTGGCCAGCTGGTGCTTTGGAAACAGTTAAATCTTGGCTGGCGGATACAGGTGTGATCTTGTTTCTTAGACACCTCCTATTCAGCCCCGAAGAGTCCTTGCTCCCCGTTCCTGATCCTGCGCGGACCAGAGTCTTCGTGTAGACGTCTCACTGCAGCCGGCGGCATGGCCAAAGACACAGCAGAAATGCCTGGTAGTGATGCCTCCTTGAGCTGTGATCAAGGCATCGCCCAGAATTCCAGCCGGAACACCTGCTCCCCTGCTCCCCTGCTTCTCCGCAGCCCCCCTTCAGAGGACACCCCAGCAACTCAGGCAGGAGCTACCCGAAAGGCCAGACGGTCCACAGTGCTGGAGGGGTGAGGTATGGCCTTGGGCAGCCTTCCCAAGGACAAGATGCCCAAGGGCTAGGAATGGGGCAGCCCTGAGGCGGATCAGAGAGTGAAAGTGTTCTGAAATTGGCAGGGCTTCTGACATCCTGCATAAGAACTGGCCAGGGGAAAGAACAGGGGAGACAAAGAGAAAGAATGTAGCTATCAAGGTTTCAATGAACTCTTGATCGGATTTCCATGGTCATTGAGTGGGCACTCTTCTCCGTGGAATTATACAGCACACCAAAGGAAAGGGAACGAGGCAAGTTCAAACAAAAGTCAGAGACGCAGCACGATGGTCTGCTGGCTGAGCGTGGTCCTTTATACCAGGACCTCAGAGAAGGTCCTCGGTATCTGTGTGATAAGCAGGACCGATACCAGACCCTCGTCACCCAGACATGGCCTCCAGCCACCCCCAACCCTGACCTGTGCCATGGAAGGAGGGGCGGCTCACACCGGAGGAAAGAAGGGCACGGGCACAGGCTCTGGTCCTGGGAACTCTGGGTATTTTGAACCTAATTTGTTCTCCCAGCCGATCTCAATAATAGTTCCCATAGTCCCTTGTTTTCCTGATTGGGCCATTGAGTGTCCGACTCTTGATTTCAGCCCAGGTCATGATCTCAGGGCTGTGGGAGAGCCCCACATTGGACTCCATGCTAAGAGTGAGCTTTCTTGATATTCTCTCCCTCCCTCTGCCGCTCCCTCCACCACCCCACTCATGTGCTCTCTCTCTCTCTCTCTCTCTCTCTCTCTGTAACATAAAAATTTTTAAAAGAAGACAATATGGCAGGTCCTCAAAAAAATTAAACGTCGAATTGCCATATGATCCAGCAATCCCACTTCTGGGTATATATCCACAAGAATTGAAAGCAGGGACTCAAATATATATTTGTACACTCATGTTCATAGTGGCATTATTCACAATAGCCAAAAGGTGGAAACAGCCCAAGTGTCCATGGACGGATGGATACACATACAACAGAATATTTTCAGCTTTAAGAACAAACTGAGGGTTGGTGGGGGGTGGGAGGGAGGGGAGGGTGGGTGATGGGTATCGAAGAGGGCATCTTTTGGGATGAGCACTGGGTGTTGTATGGAAACCAATTTGACAATAAATTTCATATATTAAAAAAAATAGATAAATAAATAAATAAGAATATTTTCAGCTTTAAAAAGGAAGGAGGAGCGCCCAGGTGGCTCAGTCAGTTAAGCATCTGAATCTTAATTTCAACTGAGGTCATGATCTCCTGGTTCCTGAGATCGAGCCCTACCCCAGGCTCTGTGCTGACAGTATGGAGCCTGCTTGGGCTTTTCTCTCTCTTTCCTTCTCTCTCTCTCTCCCCCCTTCTGCTCAAATGCATGTACATACATGCTTTCTCTCTCAAAATAAATAAAGAAACAAAGA